CGGAGACCCTTCAATAAAGTGTTTATTTTCTCATTCGTTTAATGTTACATTTCCAGACAGGGACATTATTTCCTGTAGCAATTGGCTAAAAAGTTGTAAGTCATGTAAAACCCACAGAAAGCAGCACACAAATCCTTCCTTTATGGAGTTATAGTTAAAGGTGTACTGCAAAGCAAATTAAAATTTGGTATATGCCCTTTACTGCTCCCTTCTGCTGTTCAGCAATGGTCCCAAGTTTTTTTTCTCCTTGTTATTTTTAACATTAAAAATAAAGACTATCAGGTGCTAATCTTTACAGTTATATTCTTTCCTGGCAAAGTAGAGAAGAATGGAATATGTAGGGTGCTAGCCTGGGACTTGGAAAACCTGTGATCAGTTCTGTTCTGCCAATGAGTTCTTGTGTGACCTTAGACTGTAGACAAATCACTTAAGTTCTCTGTGCATGAGTAGCTCACCTGGTCAATGGAGATAATAGTACTTCCCTCGCTCACTGCGGGGTTGTGAGATTCTGCTATGGTGATGGGGCCATAGAAGTATCTTAGATAGCTAGAACTTCCATATTCTTTGGACAGCCATAAAGGTAACTTCACAGGAGGCTAAAATGGGAGTGACAGCAATCCCAGGTGGGGAGTAGCATTCCCCACAGTATCCATGGGGCCAGGTCCATGATGATCTAAAGTGGCACTATCCCAGAGATGGGTTCTGTATTGCACCCTTTAGAATGAAGGGAAGAGCATACTCAACATGCAATTATAAGGTGATTAAAACATAAGGAAAAGCCAAGGGTGGTCTGAGTGTTTCAACATTTCTTTGTTTGAATTGCATTCAGAAGTGGGATTCCTGTGGCCTGTATTGTACAGAACAAAGGCAATCAATAAGGGAATGGTAAAGGAGGAGAATGGGAAGACACCACTTCAGTCTGTCAGTTGCTCCTCCTATGTTTTTTGTCTATTTTAGAAGACAATGAATGTTATTTCTTGTTATATTGTGAGCTGTTTCAGTACCAGCACTGGGGCATGTTTGATTATTCTAACCTGTCCATCATCACCATCTTATTGTGTGTTGTCTCTGGTAGTTATCTTTTCTTTTGCTTCTTTGAACACACCCTTCCCCTGATTTTTCAGCACATCCGACTCTCTAAAATCCATGAACCTGTGGGTGCCCATGTTGGGATAGCAGATCACCTTCTTTTGTCTACAGCTGCTTTGCAGTCTAGTGGGCTATTGATTTAGTTGCAGAACACATTGGGGGTGGGGGTGGAAATCAATATTTCATTAGGCAGACCAGAAGGCAGAAGTAATATAGCAGAGATCAATCCACGGCCCTAAGATGCTGGGTCAGGGTCACAACAAAAGGTTATATAAACGTAAGGAGGCAAGTGGTTAAGGAACTGAATTGGGACTTGGGAGCACTGGATTCACTTCCTGGCATTGCTACAGACTTCCTGTGTGACCTTGGGCATGTCACTTAACCTCTCTGTGCTGCAGTTCTCACCTGTACAATGGGGATAGGTAATACCGCCCTACTTCACAGAGGTGACATGAGGATAAATTCATTAAGGTTTATGAAATGCTCAGATTGGGCCACAGATATACTTGGGGGTTAATTAAAGTGGGTGGTTTAAGAGATATTTTGTGGTAACTAAAATGTTAATAAAGATGTTTAGAAAATTATATTTGAAAAATTAAATGATTAAAAACCAAGGACTCATTCTCTTCATCAGGCCACCGAATGTAGTAGCAGGGTGTTTATTTATGCTTTGGTTGAATTCAGAGATACAAAAGACTAAAGGCTGTATGGGGGCAGATGGTGTGTGAATGGTATATTTGAAATAAAATTAGGCACCTATTGTTATAATGAAACCGCTCTAAAATATACACCACCTGTCTAGAGCATATGTGCAAGGTATAAAATAAGAGGCCACCACCTGTATAATACTGAGATTTGCAGGTTTGTTTATCCTCCAGCTTAGGGGCTGATCCATGAAGTCCATGGGAGTTTTTCCAAAGACGTCGATGTCTGAGACGCTAGGCACGTACTTGAGGCAGCTAGCCCCTCCCACTGCTCCATCGCTGTAGTGACACTCTATTTTTAGCATGCTAGCTCAATAGGAGCTAGTGCAAGTATGTCTCCTCGAGCCGGGAGTCACGCCCCCCTCTGCAGGTCAAAGTGTCGACACACCCTACAGTCGACATATTTCAATTTAGCGTAAATGTGTTCCTAACTGACTTCATCTAAGTGAAATAACTGATTTAAAATGAAACCCGTGTGCCTGTGTAACCCACACACTTTCTGCATGTGGTGTTGTGTCCCATCTAGTGGCACTGAGACCACTTAGAGAGAGAGAGAAAGCAATTCATGAGACTGCTCTACAGCCTTAGCTAACAGCCAGTTGGCTTTTAGCTCATGCGCTAAGCTCCAGAGTAGGGCCGGCTCCAGGGTTTTTGCCACCCCAAGCGGCGGGGGGGGTGGAGGGGGAAAGCTGCGATTGCGATCCGCAGCAGCTCCACTGCGCCACTTTCTTCTTCGGCGGCAATTCGGCGGCAGGTCCTTCCCTCCGAGAGGGACCGAGGGACCCTCCGCCGAATTGCCGCCAAAGAGCCCGAGATGCTGCCCCTTCCCCTTGGCCACCCCAAGCACCTGCTTGCTCAGCTGGTGCCTGGAGCCGGCCCTTCTACAGAGGTCCCAAGTTTGATCCCACCCACTGACAACCGGGGTCTGTCGACGTTACACATGTAGCCTGTTATGCCAATCTATCAGATTGGGTTTAAAATAAAATCTTGAGTTACAACAGTGGAATGCTGTATGTAGACAACCCTGCGTATCACCTCTGTAAAGCCAGTATAAGTAATGGTGCAATCAGTCCCCCACTCATCCAGAAACATACTAAGCATTTGTGTCCAGTAGACAGCACAGGAATATGCTCATCCTCAAAGAATGGACAAATATCAGGGTTGGAAGGGACCTCAGGAGGTCATCTAGTCCAACCCCCTGCTCAAAGCAGGACCAATCCCCAGACAGATTTTTGCCCCACATCCCTAAATGGCCCTTTCAAGGATTGAATTCATAACCCCTGGGTTTAGTAGGCCAATGCTCAAACCACTGAACTAGCTCTACTCCCACTTACTTAAACCTCACTTTATGCCTGTGGTTGCAAAAAGCACGTCTTCAGTTGTTTTTACAGAACGGGAAACTGAGGTAGGGAGGTTACTCCCTTTAATAATTTGCCTAAGGCCACAGAAGGAATCCATGAAAGGTTGAGACCACAGGCAGATTTTGTTTACCTCGTCTACTCATAGTGGAGATTCATCTTACGCCAGCAATAGAGTTCTTTTGCTGGTATAGCTTATACCAGATTCCCGAAAAAAAAACAAGCTATATATCAGCAAAAGGCCTTTTTTGCCAGTCTAACTGCATCTATACCAGGACTTTTGCCAGGATATTTGTTGGCTGGGGTATGATTTTTCCCCACACACGCTCCTAACTGATGGAGCTATGCTGGCGAAATATTCACACCTCCCTCTTGCTCATTTCCAGTGTTCCCTTCCCTTCTATCATCCCCTTAGGAAGCTTATTTTAAGCCACAAATAATGAGGCGTTTTGTTTACTGTTTTTAAATATTACTAGAGTTTAGGTAATTTTCAGATAGTTGATGAAGTATTCCTTAGAACTTCGTCCTGCCTCTCCAGAAGGGAGGCAGCCTGGGGGTAGATGGAATGTTTGTCACTTTATTAAGGACATCACATACCATGTGGCAGAAGTGTGTGTATGTGTGTGTGTGTGAGAGAGAGAGAGATTCTATTTCATCTTCTTTTTTTAAACTGGCACTTTGAGATCATTTTCTTGTTGGCTATGTCTTCTAATTAAATTTCACAGTGCCCTGAAAATGACTTGTTGCATGGCTGAGGAATTTAGGAGTCTGGTCTCAGAAAATCATGTGATGCACTGTAGTTCTGAGGTTGCAGGTGGTGTATATTGATTCCCAGTTCTATACTAGCTGTTAGATTTATAAATGTCTTGTGTTATGATTTGTTTGTTTACAATCAAGGGATATTATTTAGAGGTCAAAGTTTAAATATTTAAGCACAGTCGCGCGCGCGCGTGTGTGTGTGTGTATGTGTGAGTGAGTGAGTGAGAGAGAGAGAGAGAGAGAAAAAGAAATCCTTTAAAACCCAGGAACCAATTAAAAGACTGATCAGCTCCCTAGATTTCAGCTCTTTATTGTAGTACAAAGGGATGAGACCTGGTTCCATTTTATCTATGGAGTGTTGCCGTCGGCTACAAGGGGAGCAGGACAACTAAAGACGTGAAGGCAAATGTATAAAGATATGCCGGGCTTCTGAGCCTAACTCCTCAGGATCGGGATCTCTATCTCTGAAGCTGGACTAAAAGTGATATTGCTTTCTGAGAATTCAATAGGTGCTAACTCTGTATCTATAACAGACAAAACAATGAACCCAAATATTGCATTACAGCATACTTGTATTAGGAGAAACTCAATTCTGTATCTGCGTATTCAGGGATCTTGTTCATCACGTATCGTTTTGGGCACTGGGCAGAAAAATCAACTGAAAAAATGGACAAGATTTTAAAACACAAATGCGATAGAAGGCAGTAATGACTGCTGAGTACTCAAGACTTTTGAAAATCAGGCTACTTATGCAGGTGCAAATATATGGCTATTTATTCAGGTGTACCCATTTTTGAAACTCTCTGCTGGTGTGTTATCCTTCATAAAGCAATACAAATGACCAATGATTTTCGTAGGCTAAATGGTATTGATGTGTGTTATTTAATAGATATTTGAGTGACAATGTATATAATGCCTAATTAATATAATCTGTACAAAACATTATTACATGCTGTCGATTTTTAAAGTCTGCTTTTATAGGAAAGCAAACGTTAGATGTTGCCCAGAATTGACCTTAGAATATAGAAGATATCCGACATGGTGTGTCTACTGTTTGGCTAATTAATTTCTCTCTCTCTTTCACCTGCAGGAAAACATAAATATAGACGAAGCTTCCAGATGCCTGGTGAAACACATAATTGCTAGTGAGAGTGATCTAATGCAGCCCATTGAACCAGATATTATAAAACCACACCTGAATTCTTCTAATATTGTCAGTTGTTCAGCTTGCTTTAAATCCTAAGGGACTCCCAGACTATTCCTGGATACTAGAGCTGAGCAAATAGTTAACAATGAATAATTTATCCAAAATACACAACCTGTTTTTCTGCTCACAGAATATCCATGAGCAGACTGCAATTTTCTCAAATGTATGTGTTTTTTAAAATTATTCAATGATTTTTTTGACTCTTTGGATTGATTGTGAACAGTTCACTTTAATAGTAACTATTCAAATTGTTTTGGTTAGTTGTGATTGGTCAGATAAGTCACATGGTGGTGTTCCTACTCCCTGATTAAATGAGTGAGCAAGACATGCTCAGGCAAGTGATTTTAAAATTTGGTTAGGACATAAAAATGGCCATACTGGGTCAGACCAATGGCCATCTAGCCTAGTATCCTGTCTTATGACCATGGGCAGTGCCAGACGCTTCAAAGAAAATCAACAGAACAGGGAAATTGCAAGTGATCCATCCCCTGTCATCTACTCCCAGCTTCTGGCAGTCGGAGGCTGAGGGATACCCAGAACATGGGGTTGCAGCCCTGACCATCTTTGTTAACAGCCACTGATGGACCTATCCTCCATGAACTTACCTAAGTCTTTTTTGAACCCAGCTATAATTTTGGCCATCACAAATTTCCCTGGAAATGAGTTCCATGGGTTGACTGTGCGCTGTGTGAAGAAGTACTTCCTTATGTTTGTTTTAAATCTGCTGCCTATTAGTTTTATTGGGTGACCCCTAGTTCTTGTGCTATGTGAGGGGATAAATCACACTTCCCTGTTCACTTTCTCCACACCATTCATGATTTTATAGACCTCTGTCATATCCCCCCCAGGTGTCTTTTTTCTAAGCTGAACAGTCCTAGTCTTTTTAATCACTCCTTGGTTATTGCAAGTACTTACTCATACGACTTGGAAATTTGCTTTCTAACCATAATTTTCCAGTAAAACTTAAATGCATGAATGTTGACAGAAGGTAAAAACAAAGGAGGGCTGGAGTGAATATTCATAGGATGTTTTTTGCAGTATTTACCTAGCTCTCTTGGGTACCTATTATGAATACCACAATAACACATGAAATCTGAATTGTGGCAGTGTGGTCAAGTACATAGCGCCTGGATTCTAGTCCAGCCCTGCCACTGACCTTCTGTGCATCCTTGGGGAAGTCACTTCTGTTTCCCATCCAACTCTTTGCCTATCTTATCTTTTGGGGTAGTTTAAGTTCTTTGGGGCAAGGACTGTCTCTTACAATGTGTTTGTATAGTGTCTCACACAATGGGGTCCCAATCTCACCTGAGGCAGTTAGACACTACTGTAATATAAATAAGAATAATTCAACTGACTGCGGTGGTGGAGGTGAATGGGTGGGACACACAGAGGCCCATGCTTAGGTCTTGTATGGAGCAAAACAAAGTGTCCTTAAATTATGAAAGAGGTCTTAAATTTTGGTCTGTGACTGAACCATCTCTTATTATTATATATGCATTACAGAGCAGATCCAGGGACGGAGCTGTGACCAACCACAGCTTGCTAGTATTTGGTTTAAAGCCTCAAATTGTAAATATATTTTAGAGTAAGAAACAAGTCACAGCTTTTTAAAACCAAAAAATGCCAGTGCAGAACAGTCTGTGCTGTCTGTATTTAGGGACAGGTGTCATGCATAGGGAATTGCTGAATTCAAATCCAACCTCCGACATAGGCTCCTGCTGCGGCCTCGGTCCAATCACTTAACCTTTCTGCCTCAGCTTCCCCATCTGTAAAATAGAATTAATAGAATTTGCCTACCTCACTGGGCTTTTGTGCAGGTTATCGTCTGCATAGTCCTTTGGAGATTAAAACAGCTGTATAAGGGCTAAGCTTTATTAGTGCGAAGCATGATGGCTACTGCCCTATTGCATGACTACATGACTCTCTGATGTCTGTAAATAAAACTAGGGTTTGTCTTCACGGCAACAGCTGGCTCGAGTTTCTCCACTCCAGCTAGTCTAGTTTAAGTGACAAAGGCCACACTGCGAAATAACAAGCTACACACCGATTGGATTAGCAGCTGATGAGTTGTGCTACCTCGAGCTTTGGCCTGTGGCTGCATCCCCACTGCATTACTAGCTTGAGCATCAGCAGCACTCAAGCTTCCACCCACATCTCCTGCTAGGCCAGCTAGCTTGAGCTTAAAGCACTGCTAAACTCCAGCGAGAGGTTTCTGTATGTGGCCAGGAGTCAGGTCATCATCACTCGAGTTATTCCTTGAGTTAATGCAGTGAGGTCCAGACTTCCTGGGACTAAATACTTTTTGATCCTCAGTGCTTTAGGTAAGGAACTAGATGTCTCAATGGGACCGGAGACATATGATGTCTTGCTTTTCCAGAAACTAATATGTATGAGATTGTGGAGCTAAACTGTGTTGTAACTTGGTCTCCAAGTATCAATGTGCTCTAGCTGTCCTCATCTTTACTTGTCCACAGCAGATTCCAATCAGTGTTCCTGAAACAGAAATGTAACCTCCTCCCGGACGTGCCTGTGGGAGAGCTTTGCCTGACCAAAGAGTTAGACATAATCTTTCCTTGTTAAAAAGAAACAAAAATAAAACATTGAAAAACTAGTTTCTTTCCCTTAATGTGCTGTCTTAATGTCTGGTAAGCTCCCCACCTCCCATCCTTAGTTCTGCTGTGTGCTTTTTGATCAATCAAAGATTGGGGCCTGACTTTCCATGTAGGACAGATACAGATCCATTACCTCATCGATCATGGCCGAATTCTGCCCTGACTCTATGGATTGCATGACATGTACGTCAATGCTGTGGTCATAAGTAGTTTCTCTGGTATGCTGAATAAAACACTGCAGTGCAGTGAAGAATCAGGCCCCTTTACGGTGTGTAAAGGTAACATCATTCCAGATTTTTTCCTGATGGCTGTGCACTGTTTTTATTTTACTTAGATGATGAGTAACCACTAGGACACTTGCAATAAAACAAGAAATGCACAAACACCACCAGAGTAAACAGAGATGCCGCATGCTGAGAGGATATAAGCACTCCAGAGAGAATGCATGAATGTGATTACGTTGTGACTAGATCCTTTCAGGACTGAGTACGAAATTTAGTTTATTGTTTAAATCCCTGACTGGATGAGATTTCCTTGCGTGTTACTGATACATTTGGTATTATCTTGTCCTCTCCAGTGTTGGGGAGTGAGTTTTTGAATTCCATGGGCATTGTGAGGCAAAAAGGCTTTCACTCTGGACTTCTGGAATGCCCTTGCCCTGCTATAAGAAATGAAGGGTGGGTAGGGTGATCAGACAGCAAATGTGAAAAATCGGGACAGGGGATGGGGGTTTATAGGAGCCTATATCAGAAAAAGCCCCAACATTTGGGACTGTCCCTATAAAATCTGGACATCTGGTCACCCTAAGGGTGGGCATGATTCTCCTGTGCCTTGCACATTGTGTAGTTATTGGCATCTGTGCAAAAGCAGGGTTAAAATGATAACAGATTAGAATACACCACTCACATCTCACTGATATTTTTACAATATCTTTGCACAGGTACAAATGAGCATGCAAGCTGCTAGGCAGTGGAGAATCAGGCTTCAAATCTCCTGATAAGGAGACTTTTCTCTTTATTCAGAATTTTGGGAACATTTTGATATTTTAGTGCCAGACTTTGCAAGTTTCCCCCTGCCAAATGTGGTAATGTCATTTTGCATTTTTTTGTTGCTTTATATCTTTAGAGTTCTGTACAATCAGGATCTAACTGATTCTTATACACTCTTGGAGAAGCACATAAGTATCATTAACACCACATTTCAGAGGGGGAAATTTACACACAGAGGGGCAAGTTTGGCTCTCTTACACCTGTATGACCCCAGTGAATTTGGTGGGGTAAACTCCCATGGGAGCATCAGGCATTTGGCCCTTTTAAAATCAGGCTTCATTCTTCTTATGCATTATGACTGCAGAGAACAAAGTTGTCCTTAACTTTTGCCAATCAGAAATCAGCTTATTCCCAACAATACATGTTTTGGCCATTACATCCTTCGTGTACATATCCTCAATTGACTGCACAGCTGATATTTTGTTTCTGGAGCCCATTGCTTTTGGTTTAAATCTACAAATAATTAGACCTCTTTTTTTTTGGCTGTAGCTTGGTTGCCCATGGATTTTTAAAGAAACTTGTCCATCTGAATTAAATGGAAATGGCAAATATATTTTAATGCAGGGAAATGCAATTTATGTCAATTGCTGGGAAACAGTTAATGCAAATACATTTAGTGCACCTGCATTCAAGCATATGACAGAAGGTTCTTATGGTAATTAATAATAATAAAAACCATTTCTGGCAGAACACAGAGTATGTATGTTCTATAAAATTAATCAAACAAAATAAATGTACATGAATCCTTGTTTAACCCTATGCAAATTCAACTACTCTCATGCAACACATCTCTGCTTCATGATTTTCTTTTTGGAATTGTTTCCTTTTGACTGTTCACTTGTTTTAACACACTATATATCACCTGTCCCTTAATCTTTTAAGATAAGTGTTTGGCATTAATAAAAGTATTATATACTTGAGAAAGAAGCTTTTCCTTCCCTTTTCCCCTCCCTCCTGCTGCCCCAATTAATCTTTTCCATTTTAAAGAGGCAGTTTAAGTCCCCGATTTCTGAAATGGCCTCAATTCAGCTTCTGTTTTTACAAGCATATTTTTGCGTCCACAAATAAATGCACCCGCAGTTTCGTGAGCCTATCTGAATGGAGCATGCAGTCATGGAACTCAGATGGGTAACACATTGCCTGTGTTTGCAAATCAGGTAGCTCTTAACTGGACCCATCATTAACTGTGAATGCAAAATTGTGCTTGCAGAACTATTGCCCATCCCAACCATACAAAAATGAGTCAGCCAATGAGTTGATTCTCTTCAAATACGAGATTGGCAAAAAAATTGTGAGTTTTTTAAAAAAATAATAAATTTAAGGTAGGGTGCCTTTGGGTTTTGAATCCTTTAGGGCTTGTATTTTCAAGCTTTTTGCAGCCATGAGGGCTAGAGATTTTATTAAAAAAAAAGAAAAGAAAACGGAGATTCCCACATTACACCGTGACTCCAGAAGCTGGGGCTTTAAGTAAAACAGTAAATATTGTGAGACTTGTGATAAAACCACAACATGTGGCAGCACTGCTGCAGTATTAGAGTGAGTCTCAAAATCAGGCCTTAGCCCCATCAAATAATTTGGGAATATTAATCTGATGAAAGCAACAAACAATTTATTTGCCACTGCAGCACATAAAGCACCTAACTACTGGGCTGAAGGCCATGTTCTTTTTTGTTTTGAATATAGGAATATCAGTTTACAAAGATAAGGAGCTAATCCTAACAGAGCTACAGCAACCTACTAACCAGTGTCAAAGCTAATCTGATGAACATGCCCTGGTAGACTTGGCTGCAGTTCAACAGTGACACAAAGTTATTTGCCAACAGTTGTGTGTTTTCCTATCGGAGATGAGCTGGGGGGGTGAGGGAGAGGGATATGTCTCCGTCCAATTCTCAGAGGGCTGGTTTTCACACCAACAAAAAGTACTGTGATCACTCTGGTTGGCCAAGGTTTAAATGGACATAGAGCAGTGGCTCTCAAACTTTTGTACTGGTGACCCCTTTCACATAGCAAGCCTCTGAGTGCGACCCACCCTTATAAATTAAAAAACACTTTTTTATATATTTAATACCATTATAAATGCTGTATGCAAAGCGGGGTTTGGGTTGGAGGTTGACAGCTCGTGACCCCCTATGTAATAACCTTGCAACCCCCTGAGGGGTCCCGACCTCCACTTTGAGAGCCCCTGACATAGAGTATGAGCTACATTTCCCCTAAAAATGGAACCTCTATTATAGGCTCACAGGAAGGTTGCTGGGGAATGGGGGGCTTGCACTGTGCCCCACCTGTACTTTAGCTCGTCTGCAGAAAGCTGGAGGATCTAAATCTTTCAGGCCAGGATATCTCACAAGCATTACATTTGCATTTAAAAGAAACACCTTCCTGATTAACTTGTGCATGTATTCTTTGGGCTTGCGCTTGCACTAGCATCACAAATGTTAATGACCACTGGGAGGCATTTCTTTGGGAATGAGGCCTCAGCCATGGATTGCACACAAAGACGACAGATCCAGCGAGTGTGTACAAAAGAGAAGTTAAAATTACAGAAGTCCTCAAATAGCAGGTAAACCTAAGGGTTGGGGAGGAAGTGTCACTAGTAGTATAGAAGTACTGTCAGGGTGGGAAGAAGTCTGCAGGAGTTCCAAGAAGACCAATGTGAGGAGCAGTACCTGAAGAGGGAAAAGATCTATCAGTTGTAATCTTAAAATGTTTTTTCCCATTGAGTTTTCTCTTACTAGAAGGCTGCTCCAAAGTGCTCTCAGGTGATTCACTGGGCTGAGCAACTAGCTCAATATACAGTATCTATGAACTATGGCTTGCCGTTAAGCAGCATTGTGGCAACCTCAAATGTCAACTCAGGAAACAATGGAAGACATCGAAACCTCTGGAAACATAATCTACAATGACAGGGTGCCTTAAAAATACAGTAGAAGGGCAATAAAGTAGTGCTGGGTTTAAATGACTTCCAACGCTACATCTACACGACGAGTTTCAGGTGCGAGTCCGAAGTTGTGTACCCAACCTTGCTCTAGCTCTCATTGATCTAGTGCGAATATAAATAGCAATATAGCTGCAGTAACATAAGCAGCAACAGCAGAGGCATGACTTAGCCGTGCTGAGTATGTACTCACCGGTTTCTGGCAGGTTTGTACTTGGCACAGCTAGCCCGTTCTACCACAGGCTACACTGCTATTTATATTACCACTGGTTCTTGCCAAGCTAGCATGAGTATGTGTACATGAGCTCTAGCTAGTAGTGTAGATGTAGCCTTTAAAAGATGCTGTAGCTCAAACACAAGATTCAGGAATCACTGGATGAAATCCTCTGACCTATGTTGTGTAGTAGGGCAGACTAAATAATCACAATAGTCCTGGCTTTATAATATATGTATCATCCAGGGCATAAAGAACTACATTTTATCCCATTTCCATAGGGACTTTGTTCACTGTTGGCTATCTTGAATACACCTGCTATTTTATTCAGGATTTCTCAGAACAGCTTGCAGTGCCGATGAATATATATTTTAGCCTGCCATCAGCCTTACTTTTTCATCTCCGTCTCTCATTCATTCAGTGAAGAAGTTTTGTCATCCCTGTTAGCATTGGGTCTTTTGATCCAGTATGTTTATGGCCTCTGCTCTCAAGTTCACCCTACTCTTCTGCATTAGCCTTTCTGCTCTACAAAGACAATCAACATCATTGTCACACCTGATTTACAAAGCACATAGGGAAGCCTCATTATGACAGTCCATCAACCAGTCTGCAAGAAAAGGCTGCTGATGTCAATGCCCAATCTAACATAATACTAAGGCTTGTCTACTATCCGCCGGATTGACGGGCAGCGATCAATCCAGCGGGGTGTGATTTATCGCATCTAGTATAGACGCACTAAATGCGCAATAGGTGCACTCTCCCGTCGACTCTGGTACTCCACCAAAATGAGGAGTGCAAGCG